CCATCCACACATCCAAATCCAACACACCCAAATCCAACCTGGAGTGACTCCTAAACACACCCAGACACAGAGATCCAACCAGGAGTGACTCCTAAACCCATCCACACATCCAAATCCAACCAGGAGTGACTCCTAAACCCTCCCACATACCAAAATATAACCAGGAGTGACTCCTAAACCCTCCCACATACCAAAATATAACCAGGAGTGACTCCTAGACCTACCCAAATCCAGGCAGGAATGACTCCTAAACCCACTCAGACACCCAAATCCAACCAGGAGTAACTCCTAAACCCACACAAATCCAGACAGAAGTGACCCCTAAACCCACACCCAAATCCAGCCAGAAGTGACTCCTGGACCTCCCCAAATCCAGACAGGAGTGACTCCCAAACCCACACACACACCCAAATCCAACCAGAAGTGACCCCTATACCCACCCAGATACCCAAATCCAACCAGGAGTAACTCCTAGACCTACCCAAATCCAACCAGAAGTGACCCCTATACCCACCCAGATACCCAAATCCAACCAGGAGTAACTCCTAGACCTACCCAAATCCAACCAGAAGTGATTCCTAGACCCACCCACAGATGCAGATCCAGGCAGGAGTGACTCCTAAACCCACCCCAACACCCAAATCCAACCAAAAGTGACTCCTAGACTTCCCCAGATCCAGACAGGAGTGACCCCCAAACCCACCCATACCCCCCAGAGCTCACCCACAGCACCTCAGGATGAACACACAAACTCCCACAGCGACAACACAGAGCACTTCACACACACACACACACACACACACACACACACACACACACTCACTCCCTGTGCCTAACACCCAGCAAATGCCACGAGAAAACAGGATTTCCATGGAGAAAATCCCTCTTTCTCCTCCTCCTCCTCCTCCTCTCTCCTGCAGCTCCAGGGGGGTTAGACCCTCCTGGGGCTGATGGGGAGGGGAAAGGGATGTGCTCCCAGCACGGAGAAGAAATCAAAGGGTAGAAGTTGGTCCTGCTAGAGGATCCAGATTGATCTGTACAGCACTGGGGTGAGAAGAGGTCACGGGCCACTTTGGCAGCTGATTTTTTTTGTCTTTTGACAGCATTTACAGTGACA